AAAACTGATTTAAAAAGAAACAGAAAAGCTGAGTAACTGTGTCGAAGAAATTGAAATAGTGACCCAAACCTTCCAACAAAGTAAATTTCGTGCCCAAGTAATTTCAGTCCACACTGAATTCAAAATAAAGAAATAATTAAAATAGATCAATACTTCATAAATTCCTTCTGAAAAACAAGGTATAGAAACACGTGGTCAGCATTTGTAGTTGTTGGAGTGACTCACAAGACAACACAAAATTTACGAAGTTAAAGCAAAGCAGGTGCATAAGTTGAGCCAGGTGATCATTGGTTAAGGAAACTGATTACAAGAACAAGGCAGTACTGAAGGCATAGAGGTCATGATGAGTGTGAAGGCGAGGAAGTCATGGATGGTGTCTGAGTTGAAATCTTGGTGGTCAGAAAGAATAATTTCAAATTTTAAGATCTTAGAACAGTTCTCGATGATAATACAACCCAAATTCTGGTTACTAATGTGATACATTACAAAAGTCAGGATAATTTTGTAGTAATCCAAAATAATGGTGAAACAAAGGGAAAAGAAAAATTAGTAGGTCAGTGCTAACGTTTTTGTGGAAAATAGAAGGCTAGCTTCCTTTATTCAAAGGCAACCACAAAGATGAGAAAAATCATCACTTTAGAGGCAAAGTCTGTCTTTGCAAGTAAACGCTACATGCTAGCCAGAGTTCTAGTCACATAGCTCTCTTATGACACTATCTTCATGATGGAGGTGTTAAATAGGTTCTTATAACTTCAGTGTACAAAGGATTAGACTGAAATCACAAGGTTAATAAATCCCCCAAGAGCTCCAATCTCTACAATGGTAGAGACAAAACATAACCTCAGATGCATATGCCTTAAAAGCCTATGTTCTATCTACTAAATTATCAGTCTTATCACATAAAAAAAATCTGAAAATGAAGTATAATGGTTAATGTGCTGATATTTACTGTGTTCTTACTACATGCCATAGAGAATGCTAATTATTTTATTTATATCATTTCATTTAAGAGTATGTCTACTCTAGGGAAGAAAAGAATTTATACTTAAAGAGGCTTTTCAGATTTTCAGTATCATGAAGTTAGTGAGTTAGGATTCATTAAGAAGGTCAGTTTGATGCTAAAAGTCTCTATACTACACTCTTGGTTGGTTATGCCTGGGTTTTGACAAACAATGTGTTACTTATTTAAGCAAATGCAATAACCTACTCATCTGAATAAAGACACATAAATTAAGAGTTCTTTCCCTATTTTTTGCTTTTCTAATGGATAAAAGGCAAAGGGTCTCCATTTAAAAGTGCTAAGAGAGAAATGATGTTGTGAAGAGGATTCAAGTACTAATTATCACAAAAAATGAGATGGTAAACAGCAAGGAAAGGGTTGGTGAAAGAAATAAAGGAACAAAGAGGACACAGAAAGATTGTCTTAAGTTTAAAGGAATGAAGGAAAGCAAAGCATTGGAAGGCTGCTTGCAAAACCTCATCATGGAACTGCATTCTAGTAGAGGCTGAGAACCTTCCTAAAAGTTTTATAATACTCTAAGGGAAAGAATGCCATACAGGATTGCCAGATATTCTGAATGCCTTGCTTTGGGAATGCATCACCATTCATAGGGTACAGTCTTCCTCTTGAAAGTCAGAGAATTCTGATACTCACCCAAGTCAGTTTTGCTATTTTTTTCTGTCCATTTCAAGTAGTAGGGCACAACAGAGGCTGGCAAAAGCTAATCAAGAGACAACCCATCCGCTGACTATACTGATAGTACTGAATGGAAAAATTCCTAATGAAGGAAAAAGGATTAAATAGAAAGGGAGGGAGGACAGCTCAGCAAAGCACTCACTTCATTCCCACAGTCAGGATGCATTAAACTTGTATTTGTTATAGAAGCACATCGGTTTGTTTCTATTCAGGCAGAAAGTCACAAAATAATATAGTATGATCAAACTATAAAATTCTGGCACTGAACACTTATCTGGTGTTCTGCTTTTGGTTAGCAGTAATTATATATCAACTCATAAACTCAATATGTTTAGCTTTTCAGTCCATCTAATTTTACTTTTAATTTTATAGTGTAGTCACAGTGTATCAAATATTTTAAGGCATTATAGAAATCATTACATTATTTAGTCACATTAAACTGAAAAAATGATCCTGCACATGAAAAATTATATTACCTAATTTGATAAGAAAAGGTCATTTTTATAGTTTTCATAATATATACAATGTGTTCAAATAAAAGATTGCTGAGATGATCAGTAGCAATTGAAGATATGATACAATAATACAATAATATTGTATTAGTAAACATGAGTTTTCAATACTCCACTAAGGAGTTTTGAGGTAGTATAAAATGTTGAAAGAAAATATAAACAAAGTGATGTGAACTACACAATAGCTATGCTGCGGAAACAGCCAAGATGCTCTACTACTGATGAGTGGATTAAGAAAATGTGGAATTTATACACAATGAATTTTCATTCAGCCACAAAGAAGAATGAAATTTTGTCATTTGCAGATAAATGGATGGAACTAAACAACAACATCTTTTTTTTTTCATTTTTCTTTTATTATTCATATGTGCATACAAGGCTTGGTTCATTTCTCCCCCCTGCCCCCACCCCCTCCCTTACCACCCACTCCACCCCCTCCCTCTCCCCCCACCAATACCCAGCAGAAACTATTTTGCCCTTAACAACAACATCTTAAGTGAAGTTAGCCAGGTTCAGAAAGCCAAAAGCCACGTTTTCTCCCACATGTGGAATATAGATCTAACACCAATACAGCAATATTATGAAAAACAGGTCACACTAAGGGGAAGTCACATACAAGAGAGGGAGGATACAAAAAGGAAGTTCTGAAGGTGAATGTGGTTGATGTATTTTCTATAGAAGAATGTAGAATTTTTAAACCTGTTGAAATCACCATAAAAAGGAGACTAATATAGAAAGGAGAAAAATAGAGATGAACCAATTCTGGTTTTAATACATCTGCACATTGAAATGTCAAAAAGAAACTCTCCATATAGCTATCTTAAATAAACAAAACTGTCATTTCTTTTTCTTTTACAAAATTGGAGAACAGGAGGGCAGAACAGGTCCTTCAGGAGGGTTAGTACCAGAGGGAGGAGGGAGAATATGGGGAAAGGTAGAGGAGGGTGAATATGGTATAAATATTGTGCACACGTGTATGTAAATGGAAAAATGATACCTGTTGAAACTATTCCAGGAATGGGGGGAGGAGGGATAAAGGAGAGTGATGGAGGGGGTGAATTCAAGTATGTTTGATATATTGTAAGAACTTTTGTAAATGCCACAATGTAACCCCAGCATAACAATAAAAAATTGTTTTAAATAATGGGAACTAAAGTTTTTAGTAATTTCATTTAAACATTTTTATCACTAACATTATTTTATTTGATAAAAACAAGTCTAGGTCCCTTCCATATGCTAAAAGCTATGTGTTAAATGTGTGCAGCTCTAGGTTTCCCATTCTAGTCACACAAAGAATCAGCAGTAGGAAACTGAAAGACATTTTCCCAGCTTTAAGGGCTCGAGGCCGGCTCTCACTCCCAAGTGTCACTTAGCTCAGGCTAGAATCTGCAGGCAGGGGTCAGCAGATATTTGGGTTCTCTACCTCATTGCCACCCCTTAAGGAGGCACATCAGTGTACATCATGAATCTAAGCTGCAGGAGGGGTACCCAGTTCTGCAATTCCTTTTCTTATAGGAGAAGAGTAAGAACAGGGTTTTAAGGAAAGAATAAATAACTTGAGTTTCCATTCTTTTCTTTTCTTTTATTTTTTGGTAGTACTGAGATTTGAACTTAATGTTGTGAGCTTGCTAGGCAGGTACTCTACCACTTGTGCCGTCTTCAACCTTTTTGCTTCATTTTTCTAATAGGTCTCAAATTTTTGCCCAGGCTGGTTTAGACTGAGATTCTCCTATTTATGCCTCCTACATAGCTGGGATGACAGGTGTGAGCCACCATGTCCAACTTACTGGTTGAGATAGGTTCTCACTAACTTTTCACACAGACTGGCCTCAAACCCTGATTCTTCTGATCTCTACCTCTCAACTGCCAGGGTTACAGCTGTGAGCCATTGTCCCAGCCAGACCTTCCATTCTTAAAAGTTTCGTATATTCAGAAAAGCCCTAGAAATGCTAACCACCCAAAAGCAGCAGAAAAAAAAAATATCAACCTAACATCTAAAGATCTCTCTCTTGCAGGCCTCCTTATAACTTTCAAACGTTTTTATTGTTTTTTCTTTTAATCTCTTTAGGTCAGCTCCCTCTAATTCTTTTTTTTTTTCCAAGCCAAACTGTATCCAGCTTTATTAAAGATACTTTTCATAAACAATCATGGTATTTCAGGCAAGACATAGGCAGACAATCTTTAAACAGTATACAACAACTTTCAGACTTCCTTCTTGGATGGACTACCAAAATCAGAAAGCCACTATAAAACCCAATGACATCTTCATTTGAAGCTCTGAACAGGGAAGTTTAGAGTGAGGGTTGACATTTCACATTAAACATGTTTAACAACTTTTCACAAGCTGACCCTGACTTTCAGGAAATGAAATGAAAATGGCAGAATTATCAATCTGAAGATTCAATGATGTCACTGAAAAGTCCAGATTGCCTGACATACTGGCAAAACCAATCTTGGTGAGTCAGGTCCCAACAGGCCTCTGGTTTTAAGGGAGTTAAAGTCTATGCTGATGATGGAGAGGGAGGAGGACATAAAAATGAGTTTTCCCACATCACAGGGCATTTGTGTCAAGGTGACTGGCTTTTGTGTGTCAATGCCATGGAATCCCTCCTCCTGAGGGCCAAGAGGAAGCCTCAAAACTAGCAGGGAAAGATGTTTCTCCCCTACACTGATCCAGCTTTGGAGATATTCAATTAGTGACACACGCTCCTTCTCCCAAAATAGTGCAGTGTTCTGTGTGCTAACAACATAGCTAAAAAAAAAAAAAAAAAAAGTAAAACAAAATTCTGCATTTTTATAAAACTTGATAAAAAATAGTATTTCAAACTGTACAGTCACCAGAAGTACAGTTGTCAAAAAATGCACACACTTCACTTGGCATCTCCAGCACCTTCAGCTTTCTGTGCCTGGTCTGTTTTGGCATCTCCATTTTCTGCAGGGTTATTTCCATCCTTTCCAGTATCAGCTTTTCCCCTTTTCCTTTTGGGTTCCTTCTCTCCCTTCTTTGCAGGGGCCTTTTTAGGCTTGGGCTCTGGCTTTGGAGGAGCAGGTTTAGCAGACAACCTGGCGGATCTTCTCTGTGGCTCGTCCTTCACCTTGGCTTTATCTCCTTTAGCATCGCCTTCAACCTTTCTCTTGGGCATGGTGGGGCCGCGGCGGGAGGAAGAAACGTAGACGCTGAACGCGGGGATGCAGTTGCACGCGGCTTTGGTCGATCCAGGGGTCGTTCTCGCCTCCTCTTCACACTGCTCTCTAATTCTTGTTCAAATATTTTTGTCACACCTTTGCTTATAGGTCCCTGCTTTGTCACTGTTTTTGCAGTCTTTCTTCTCTCTCCACCTGGAATGTCTTCACCCCTTCTTTTGTGACCCTTGATCTTGATCTTCTTAAATCCTTTCCTTAAAACTTTAGATCAAACTAATCACTGTTCCTCTGACTTACATAATATGGACCTTGAAAGAATATCTAACATATAAATATTAGTCAGTTTGTCCTTACACAGTCATTTGAGTGAATCTGTGTGGAAAACAAGGAAGTTGTTTCAAGATGGCAGAAGAAGGAACTTGAAGGATATTTTGATCAGGTAAACAAACAGCTAAGATGTGTGTCCATTCCATACTCAGTCACATTCTATAAAGTCTGGAGGATTCATAATCCAAAATTAATTAATAGAGCAAAGCAGACAAATTCCAAATGCTTCATTTTCCCAGAATTTTATCAGTCTGGGAAGGACTGTCAGAAATGCTGTCAGCAATATGATGCTGTCAGTATTACTTTCTTCCAAAGATGACAGCTCTATAGCTTGCATTCATCTGAAGTGGGTTAATTTGTTCTGTGTGCATTTTGTGAGCATTTATTCTGCTCTCAGCATGGTAGAATCACAGGATGTGAGAGCTGAAAGGGAGCTCAGAAACCATCTCACACCCCCAGCCCCTATTATTTTTCTGTAAAAATCACTGTGGGAGTGTGACGAATAAAATAGTTGTACAGCGTCCTATTTACTGCCATGTAATAAGTGAAAAAACAAGCATGTTGATACTTACACTTGTGCCTGCACCACAGTCCCTGGGCATCTTGAAGGAGTGTGGGAAGCAGTTGGAGTTGAAGGTTTTAAAAATGTCATAAAAGACTCCAAACACTCATCTCCTTAACCCAGCTCATTCTCCTCAGGAAAAACAACATGGGGTGGTGAGGCAGAAGACCTGGCCACACTTGGTCACACTTGGTCATGTGTAGAAACTCATTATAGGATCTATGCCTGAATTTCAGTCTTCGTAGCTATGAAATGAAGAAAATGATACTTGTCTCTATCACATTAAAAGATCAAATGGTTCACATTTTGTAAATTCTAATGTGCTTTACAAATATATTTATTTTATTGTTCCTACTCTTAGAAGCTCTTTGAAGTACATACAGCACTAACTTCATTTTAACAGGTAAATAAAACAGATAAGTTGAGTGTTTTCTAATTCCAGGATAACAGGATAACAGGAAATGAAGATGAAGATGTTCTTCTCCACTGAGCTTGTGCTAAGCACTTGCCTATGAAACTCTGCTACTAAAAAATTATAAACAGCATTTTTCTTAGCCTAAGTTAACATTCTTATAGAGAAGAAATATCTCATAAAAAATGATGAATTTTGTATCTATTAATAATGTTTATTAGTTGTGATGCCTGCAAGTTAAGACATATTTTAAAATTTAGAAAACATCTCTCCTACTGAAAAAATTACAGAATAAAAAATAAAGTTCTCTTTTAAATAATCATTGTTTATGGCTAAGGTATAATAGCATATAATATTTTATTGTTATCATTTACCTAGGTTATTTAACTCTTAGTGAAGTCAAAAAATATATTGTATATTTCAAATTTCTGTTTTTATAGAAACTGTTAGAATAGCTAAAAACATTGCTAAAATATATTTGAATAGAAATGAGCATAATGAAATGATGGGATTTATTATTAAAATATAAAAAGAGAGATGCATAGGTTTGGGTCTTTCCCTCTTACCATACTGACTTTGAAATTATTTGCAAGATTGCAAATGTGTAATGAAAACATGAATATTTCTGAAGTAATTTCCATTCCCTTCTCTAAACAAATCATTTTCCTTCTCCTAATTATACTTCTAGATGAATTTTTATTTTACTTTAATGATAGAGTTAAATTATACCTTCCTGTATACAATGTCCAATTAAAAGTATAAAATGCAAAGAATCAGAATATATTTTAGCCCTTGTAAATTTTAATCAATTGCTCTAATGAAATTAATGTAAGTATTAACAAAGAACAATTCAGATTTACTTTTGAGAACATCTTTTCTTATGTCTTTATGAATTCTAGTTTGGTTTTGACAATACTTTGGAGCTTTTAAGTACATGAAAAAAATGAGTTTAGATTTCTTTTCATTTTAGCCACTATTATTTTGTATTGATTTGTGTGAAAAATAAGAATAAAATTTCCTTTGCTTCTTTATTCTTGGAAATGTAGTTAAACTAACAATTAGAGTTTAAAACCTTACTATTACTAACAGCCATATCTTTTAAAGAACTGAAAATATCTAAGGCAAAAAATTGCAATTAAATTAGAGAAAGAAAACAAAAAAAAAGAGAGGTTCAAAATAGAAAATTAAAGGGAAAAAAAGCAATGAACAATTTTTTACAAAGGAAGAAACATGACAAAGAGGAAATACAGTACTTTCATTAACAATTAAAAAAAAAACTATAGCTTTTACTGTCTTTTCTTTTGAGCTAACTGAAAGATTCAGTGATTAACTGTGGTTTTGATTTAGTCTGACTACAACTTTCTATGCCTTTTGTCTGTATCTCAGCTTCCTCTCCTACACCTCACATATATCGGTTTGGTCTCCTCATTCTCTCCCAGAGATCCTGAAAGCTGTGATCATGATGGTTTCAATCTTTACCTCCCTACTTACTACTTATGACACTAGAAATTCTATATTAAAAATAAACCTCCCTTCAACCTTTGGTCTATTCTTAACCATGTGCTACCTATAGATTCTGAGAACTAAAAACTGATTTCAAAATTATGGGTTTGTATCAGACCTACCTGATGGTCACATCGCAGAGTCAATCCTAACCAATGGAGCAATAGACCTTCCCTGATTTTATTCCGCTCAAATGCACAATTGCATAATTCCATAACCAGTTTTTGAAAAATGGCATATTTTGTCAAAAATTCAAGGTTAACTTCTTGGGGGTTAGGAGGTAATGGGAAAGAATGATGTGGCTACAAACTAGTTGTTTCTTTAAACTAATTGTTGTTATTTTCCTCCTCTAGGTTTAGCTTTCTATTCTGCAAACTAAATATAATTATTATCATCTACATCTTACGGAAATGGCTAAAGAAGGGCAATGAGAAAACACATAGATAAAGGCAGCGGTGAGGGTAGTCAGGACACTGCCACATGATGTGCAGAACAATTTTTGTCTTGCCACCTTTTAATTCCATACAAATCCAAGTGCTCTCATTGTATCTCTGATCCTGGAACCAAAAGTAAATGACACATCTGATTCCTCCCTAAATGCAGAAAAAGTGCAAAATTAGGAGTCTTCTTTTAACTCATCCTGCCTTTAGGTTGCTACTCAGGTATAGGGATCAAGTTTTAGCTACAAGGTCTAAGTAATTATCCCATCCATTTCTTGGAACCAATACAAAGTAGCAAAGAAATGGGGATATTCTGCTGCTGTGCCCTGTAGGTAATGAATTTGCATAGAAGACAAAGAGTTTCTCTGTTGGATTAGGGGCCCCATCCTATGCAATTCTGTGCTTGCCTTCACCATACTGCAGTAACACTGGAGCTGTTGCAATTACCTCTTCATAGAGGTCCTACACTGTGGAAGCCCAGAGAGCAAGGTATAAACACCCTGAAACAAAATCCAAAATCAGATGATCACTACAGCTTAGCTCCTGGCTTTTCTAATGAGATGAAGGGTTTGCCAATTTACCTTTTTCTGCAGTGTCCCTTGTATAGTCCTCCATTTCTCTCCCTAAGTCTATTGCTACAAAACCTCAAGAAAGATGTAGCTTTGTTGAGAAAAGCATTGTAACTTTCTTACTTTAACACTGCCCATAGGTGAGAAGAATGTGTCTTTTTTTCCAGTACATCCCAATTCTCCAGAAGTGTTACTGTAGTTGAGATTATGTATGAAGTTTTTAATTGCATGAATTTCTAAAGAAGAATTTTGTTGAAGAGTTTCATCATTGGAATAAATTTTATTTTGATCTTTATGGTCAACTTTTAAACAATATTTTAAGTATTTTTGCTTGTATGGCAGTTTTGCAACTATCAGTTACCTACAGTCTAAAAAAAAAAACAGAAAGTTGCAATCCTGGGGATGTGAAAAGGGATTAAATTTTTATAATTAGGAAACAGATTATAGCTTTCCCATTGGCATATATCAAAACTCTCATTTTCTTGTCATTTTGCCAAGCCAACAAAATGTCATTATGCCTCCGTATTGTCACCAAGCTAAAGCTTATGCTGTTACCTACATCACCAAGGAGAATTCAACTGCTGCAGTTGATGAAGTATGCCATTCCTTGCTCTTTTATGTTGCATGCTTATAGTGATATATTTCACTGGGGTAAAAAGGTTGTGTTTGCCAAAAAAGCCCTCAAGCAATGACAATGAAAAGGTTTGGGGAGATGAATAAAAACACTAAGAGCATTCAGTCACTTAGAGAACTCATGGGTATAGTCTTTTGAATGAAATGTCAATCCAAAAGATAGGGTTGAAGAAGCACATTCATGCTTATGATAGAATAAATAATAGATATGAAAGTTTGGTGACAAAATATGAATCAGTACTAAGATACCCAGAGTTCTATGAAAGTTGTTGGTATGTTAAAAAAAAATTAAGTCCACACTGCAACATTTCTCTAGTGAAGTAAAGAAAAATGCCTGGTGTTTAAAAACATTTGTTTTTGTTGTAACCATCATATTCAACCATGAAGGGCAACTCGAACTAGTTCAAACTTGGAGATAAGTCCTAGAAAGACAGGGTAGCTGTCAAATTGTCTTTATTTTTTAAGAAAGCAAGCCAGAAAATAAGTAAAAATTCACTCTGGCAAAAAAAGAAGATGGAGAAGGGTGGTAAAAAAGGAATGCAAAAGCTTCATCATATGCCTTTGCACCCATAAGTGTACTATTTCCTTCATGCCTTTACCTAAGTTCCATACAAAATATTTAAAGCCTCCAATCAACATGCCCATC